GTATACAAGAATCCAACTGGGTTACATCATCCGAATTGTTAATAATAACCATGGTTCCTTGAGGAATCACTGCTCCCGTCTTTTGACGTGCCTTCTCCACCAATTCACGATACACAGCGTCCAGGGGATGATCCCACTGCGATTGTTTCGTGAACGTATTATGGTAGTAATGACTGTTTTTCTCCTCGGAGTAGCTGTAGAAGATTTTAAGAAAACATTCTTAATCATTTAATGTCTGATTAAACCCATAAGCTTACCAGATTTTCCACTCCGAAGGCAGTGCTGCCATCAAACCTTCCTTAGCAAGATAAAGCAAATGCTGTTCCTTAAGAGGTTCGATCCCTATCAGTTTGGCATAATCGTGGATCTCTATAAGATAAGTTAGCATGAGTCAATATGTAAGTTGTAAGAAGAATTTTTGGACCCCATACGTCATACTGTCCAAAGCTCAAGAATAGTCGATAAAAACAATTTTCCATTTAATTTTTAGTCGTTACTGTTCTCTAAAATATATGGAGGTATTGGAAGAGTTAAGTAAAAATATACTAATGTATGAACCTGACTATGTATGTGATTTATTGGAAACATTTCCGACCCTATTAAGTATGTGTGTGTGAACATTTTCATTATTATTATAATATGTACATAGATACAGATTTCCAATCCGGTACACACTGACTATTTTAATAGTATTGCTTTCGTTATTTAAAAGAAAAAGTATATGTATCTGTGTAAATAAGGATAGAAAGTAAAGTTTAATTTCTTACCGTCTGAAGATGGTAAACAGGCTTCGTCGAATACTTCTTCGCATATGACGGATGTAGTCGGAGACACATATCCAGAGCGTTTTGTTTTCGAGGCAGCTTTGGTCATTGCCGTTTCACTTTTTAGGTTTGTAGGCAGAGTTGCACCCTCTGGTTTAGACATTAATGGCGTTTCCGAGGAAATGCCCGTGTTGGTACTCGTCGATTCCATAGTTTTTTGTATTTTATAAATAGTTTTTAAGGCAACAAAACATACGACTCGTTCATCAGTTCAAAGATGTCATCATTAATTAGTCCGTCCCCATTTGCTGAATTGCTGAATCTTAAGAATTGTATATTGTTAATGTTTTGCACAAATATGTACATGCATGTACATATGCATTTACATATGTACATATGTATGTGGTGCATAATATGTACAGTAGACCCCATAACACTCAGTGCAGATTTAAGCCATTATTGTGGCTTGTTGGTGTTTGGCCGATGTTTTCAGATCTCCTTTTTCACAGTGTATGCAAAAGTGGATGTCTAAAATTAAAAAAAAAATGTCCAAACGGATCGTAGCTAGAAAATAACTTCAAAAAACCAAACGAATATAGTTTTAGATCAAACTAGTTTTTAGGAATTTAAGCTTCGAGACAAACCTACCAGAGCTACCTTTTCACAAACCTTAAGTGTCTTTATATGGTTTTAAAGAGCTTTACTATTCTGAAAAGCTGGCAAATGCAGCTATTAATCGTCATGTGTCTTTATTATACCCGGTACTCTAAGAGTAAATAGGGTAAATTGTATTTTTGCGAATAACGGTTGTGTGCACAACGTTAACACAGAAGGAAGCGTTTCCGACCCCATAAAGTATATATATTCTTGATCAGCATTAATAGCCGAGTCGTTAGAACCATGTCTGTCTGTCCGTCTGTCCGTCCGTCCGTTCGTCTTGTTTGTCGGCTAGTTCTCAGAGACTATAAGAGCTAGAGCCAACAAATTTTGGCTCCAGACTGCTCACACTGGAACCAGTGTATTTCAAAAATTAGCCCCGCCTCCTTCCGCACCCGCAAAAGGGCGAAAACCTCCCAAACCTTGAAGAAAACTAAAAACGCCATTCCGTAGGGAATGACCATATCTATCAGATCACCAAATTGGGATCAACCCCAATTGGAAATCAATTATATATTTGTTTTTTGCACATTCTCTCATTCACACTCTGCTTCGCGCAGACACGTCTCTGCCTCTGCCGCGTCCCTGCCCTGACTCTGTATGGCTCTAGGGGAGGGTGGCGAGCCAAAGGAGCGTGTTGGCGTGAGTAGTTTTGTTGATGTAGATGACAGATGAAGAAAAAATGTAACATTTGACAAATAACCGTTAAGCTACAGATGTACTACTGGTATACTACGGGTATAAAAGTTGTGACACGTAAGATGCGTCTCACACGTCCCTTCTCGTATTTTATTTGTGTAGGCGCAACTATTAGACGTCGTTTAAAATATTCAATCTTCACTGTTGTTATGTAAGTATATATTATACATTATAGATACATTTACATATATATGTATATGTACGAGTATGTCCTGCAGGACCAGAAGAGAGCTAAGACAAATGCCAACTACGAGTCAGTTAGGAAAAAACAACAACAGAAAACCAACCCTATGAGACCCTACTGGGTCGAGCAGGTGTATGTTTTGACGGGTGTTTATTTTTTTGTTGGCAAAAATAGACTGCGGTTCTACCTCAGCTGATCTACAAAGAAATGACAGAGAACCGGCAACACAAAACAAAATGTAAATGCATTCCTTTTTTTCAAAGTCTTCACTTGTTAATACATTACTTTTAGTGAAATTCTTCACTTATACATGCATACCTTTATCTTAAAATTCATCACTTAAGAACTGATTGCTCTCGGTAACGTCATAACCTACGCTCCTTGGACGTCTTCATGTAATCATCATCAGTTTGTTGTATACTTAGCAGGTCAGCACTTATGTCATTGAAGCATCAATAAGATGCACCTTACATACGTATATATGAAAGTACATATGCAGATATTATATGTACATTTACATATGCATTTATTTACATATGTGTGTACAAATGTACAAATGTGGGCAGTGGCTCACATATGTACGTATTTATTTGTATGTACGTACAGATGTTTCTATGAATTTTAACTATGCTAATACAAATTGCTGTTTTACCAAATAAGAAAACTAGGACACAGAAAGCCTTCTATGGGACACAGGAATGCAAACACAAATGGTCAGTTACTCACACACAAAGTCAAACAAGACCACTGATATTCAAAAATAATAGACTTAACCCTGCCTATGTGTGTGTGTAATTAAATTCTTAATGCTGACTGACAAAAACTTCAGTACAAGACAACATCCTTTCCTACGCAAATGAAAATATTTAAAGGTTCACTAAAGATAATAGAACTCACTTTTTTAACGAATTCTTATTGTAGAACTCACAGAAATTCATATATGTACGTTCACATACACTTCTAACGGTATTGATTTTTCACGGCAAGCCCTAATACTCAGATGAGAGAAAGGTGTCCTTTGGCAAAATCAGGGATGCTATTCGTTAAAAACCGATAGCCGATAAGAAATTTCTTCCAGCAACATCTGATCGCTAGCGGCTGTTAAGTGGTCAGTATTCAGATAAATAAAGTTAAATTCCGATTAATACTGGAAAAGCAGATTATGGTATTTCGCAAGGACATAGCAGGACATGAAAGTGTTCTACATTTCTCAGCTAAATGAGTGAAAAATTAGATGGGAATGCACAACGAATACATGATATATTATTTATCTCGCCACAACGGCGAGATGCAGAAAGGCCCCTGCACTTGGGAAAGGAGATTCGTAGTTGTTTTGAGTCGGATCTAAAGTAGAGTACGCCCGAGGTAGACCATCGGCACTTCAAACTTGTCCACGTCTGTGTTGGAGAGATGTTTGTCCGTTAGATGTAGAGTAAAGTCCGATGCGTGTTTTTGAATTATCGTTTTGTTATCGTATTTGTTCGAGATGTCCGAACAGTTGGTTTGTTGTGCGACCTGGGGGCATGGGAAGAACTCAGCCCTGGGATGACTGGCTAGCCGGCCTTGCCCCAACACCAAAACAGGTTCGTAACAATAGAATACATGGATTTATCCAATATTGCGGTGCTTTACGCATGTTGTTGTTCTCTAAGCTCTACATTGCTGTCAAATAAAACAATTCCAACACAAAACAGTGTATCGAAGTGCATGTACATCTGGAACCACTGTGCCCCATGCTGCTCGAAAGAAGCGCAAAGCGTCTGCAAGAGAGCAAAAGATGAAAACAATTTTAATCATATTCATGCATTTTAACGAATTCTTAAATTTAAGGATCTTATAATTTATGAATCTTACACTTGGTGCTGATTTTATCAAGGAGATTTAAAAGGAGATAAAACAAATACTTATTGCATTACTGTTCTGCAGAACCGACTCATCCAATAATGCGGTGCATTATTGTCTTGCAAGCTCCATATCCACTCTGCAACAACACACTCATGCCTTCTTCCTTCTCCAAATTTTGAATTTTTAACGGATTTCATTTTGTAAACAAACACAAAACAGTGTACCCACTTTTCCACTTTGGTCATACTGGGCATCAAGCGAAATATATGGCACTTCCTGCTTTCGCCGCTTCGCACGAAATAATTGTTGCAGATAATCGTGTTGGCTGTGCTGCCTGCACTCTGCATAGTTTTAGCGACAATTTCTAACTCAATGTTATCTTGTGTGGCTTGCCGGAAATTCCACGAAATCTGTTCTTAGCATTAGAATGGACTGTCTTATGGGTGTTGCTTGACCAGCTCGATTCTTGGGCCTACGCTTGATTGCAGCGGTTCCTCTAACAGCAATCTTTGTTTGCCGTCTCGTGCCTGAAGCGGCGATGGATGTTCAAGGATATCAGGCAACATATTATGTATCTAAACCAGTTTGCATCAGGCTAACATTAACATGCTTTCCGTGAGCTGAAGAGCAGTAGCAGCGCCTTATCCAATGTATGCATTAAAGGGAAAAGCCCATATGTATGTGTGACAAAATTATTCCTTTTTATTTTTTTTTTACAGTCAGTCTCTTTTGCACATTTTTTCGTAATGATTTATTGTACCATTGTAAGTACCATCATAGGTTTCCAAATATAAGTGCAAGTATATAAGGATAAATTCTGAGAACCCTAATTATATTAAAACACAATGTAATATTATTGAATAGTATGTATTCTTATTGTTTGTGTAATTAAATGTACAATTAATTATGTATGTATAATAAACTACTAATGTTTAGCATACTGTCTCAAACATTTCTTGTCTCACAATTGTATGTCTTGTAGCTCAGTTTTAGCCTGCCCCAGCATTTTTAATGTTTGCGTCCGATAGGGCCGGGCAGCTTTAAAGCAATTTTGATCAGCGTTTTCTGCAGCAGTTGTAAGAGACAGAGACGGTGCCGGCATTTGCCTTATGCGTTGCGCGCGCTGCTGCTGATATTGCTGGGTAGGATGAGTCTGACAACGACGCTGGTAGTACATTTTTGCAGTTTTAGGATGCTCAATGTTAACGAAAAACGGTTGCAGTTTGCGACTGTGCTCTTCAAAAATCGCCTCCATATGTAACATACATTCCTGCAGCTGAACCTATCCATAAACAATAGAAACGGTTTTAATTGCTTTGCGCTTCAATCTTTTCTATACAAACTTGTTCGATGCTGGTTAGGTCCGTAAGTAGGCCCAATAAAAAGTGGAGATTATGGACTGTGCGCAGATGCCATTTTAGGCCACTCATTGAAGCGGCTATACTCGATGCTGCTATAGTGCTAGCTGGGTACTTTGCAAATTGATGTTCTGCGGAATAACAGTTAATATTTAATATATGTATAGTATAGTATATGTATATTAATAGAATTTACATTTGATTCACAATTAAGGTTATTGTTTTTATCAGCTAAAAACTTCTACACGGAAAAATACCTATTGACTTACCTTTGGCTGCCATCGATATGAAGGCCTTAGCGTGTTGTCTAACTTTAGCAATGCTTATATCAGGGATGATTTTACTATTTATTGGCATTCGTATAATTAAAAGATCAAGAAAATCCAAGGGGGTCACAGATGAAAGATCCCATCCCAGTCGGCTGAGCACGTACAGTTCCCATTTCTTAAGGTTAGAGAAGAGAATATAACTGTTAAAAAAACCAAAATCTGCATGTGTATTAATAGATCGAGGACAACACAACTTTAAAGTTCCCTTTTAAAAGTACATTTTCCATTAATTTTTTTTAAAAGAAAGTACCTGACAAGTTAAATAACGTTCTTCTGCCATTTAAGTTGGTTAAGCTGATACCTTCTGACCGAATCAAGATATCTTAATAAAAGAAATTTTTCAAAATGAATCCTGGGCATGCTGATACAATGCCTAAAAGCTTTACAATAAATAGTTAAAGTTGAACTTTGAGTGCGGTGCATATTTGCCTGTTTGCAATGCATAAAATTCTCAACTTTTACTTTGTTGGATCAATCTAGAACAGGAAGACAGTTATTTATATTAAACGAGTGTTAGGCAGCAAACGATATTCCAAGAGAGTGGCTAAATGTGAAGGCGAACTTACGAAAAGCAATAACACACGACTAACCGACGCACAAATTCATTTGAGTTAATTCTTTTTTCACACAATTAAAAGGCATGCACTCGCGGATTAGGAAAGGCTAAAGTATTGTGTTACTGGTCACAATGTAAGATAGTGTTTTCTTCTTTGGAAATGTTAATTTTTTAAATAATTGAATAGCTTACAATTAAATCCTCCTTGTAAATGCTGTTGTCCGTATAAACGACCAGTAATTCAACGGAGAGGGCACGACAGCTGGGTTCCCGAAGTTTTGAAGCAAGTAAAAGACAGGCAGCTGCTAAAATTTGAAGGTGCGTCTTGCGTACTGATTTAGTTGAAAGAAAGCGATCCATGTAATTCAATGCCAACAATACGACCTCCTCCTGGCATTTCTCTTCGGCACATACCTTAAGCATTGGGACGATTGGAAAATGTTAAATGCGTTAAAAAACAGGAAATACACAGTTGGTGTCTTATTTTAAGAATAATATTTGCAGTGATTCTTTTTTATACATTTTGCACGATATATGCTTTTTTTATACTCAGAACATACTAAAAGACCATAAGGCTACGGTTTTGCATCCAGAATTATGCAATATAATACTGTTACAAGTGAATTTCAAAATTTTACCCCAATTCTCTCCGCCCCAACAAACTTCGAAATTATGTGTGATCTACAATTTTGAAGCTAAGTATTAGAAAACCTAGTTCTGTATTCATCATTTCCACAGTTCCACACGACCAGCAAACGGGCACACGACCAGCTGATCATGACAAAGGACAGGACGCAGCAGATGTCTCTTGAAACTAAAAGCAGCCTCCATATTTCTTCCCCCCTCGGAACGCATTATCCTTAGCAACAGTATTGTCTGTGGGGTTTACTCTGTAAATTGCGTTTTCTTCACTTAATAACGTAAGAGCCGGCTTTTCGCTGACAAAAAAGAGAAAATCTGTGAAAATCAGAAATTTGTCCTTTGGTTCATTCGGTACTATTTCCTGGTGGTAAGGCCGAAATATGCTAGCAACAAATTCGAAACGGAATTAAAATTAAGGAAATATTTTGGAAATACAAATAATGAATGCTGCGTATAATAAACTGAAAGACAAGCAGAATTTTATAGATCAGTTCACGCACCGGTTCTGGACCAGTACTATTGGCTTGGAATTTTTTCTTAATTATTTTCCGAGCTCTGGGCAATTATTCTCAGTAAATGCATTTAATACAAAATACAGCAGGCAAGAAGATTGAATTATTGAACGGCGTCTTGTCACTAGATTACTTACTTCCATCATCCACTCAACCACAATTTTACGCATCGCCGGAGTTATATCTCTTTGAACAGTCCTAAAATATGTCTCGACTATCTGTTGGTGCTTTTCCTCAGCTTTCAAGGCATTCTCCAGGCATCGATCAGATTTAAAAGTAGGATCTCCAATAGCCGTATTGACATAATTTGAACCGAGTGGGTCGGATTTACTCTGCCACCCTTGAAGACGAACAGCCGATGGCTGATTGCTGCAGCTTCGAGTAATCCATTCAACAGGTTCCTTCATACCTTTTTCTTGAAGTTGGTGTGATTGGTTTTGGGTCCTTAATGATTCTGCTGATGCGTATATATAAACAATCTCACTCCTTTTGCACACGACGGAATTACTGGAGCTGTTGGATGGATTTGAAGCTGCGATTGTGTTTGCAACGTTACCAGCACTATCAGAAGTTGTAGATGAGAAATCAGTCCTGATTATGGGCTCAGCATACGTTTGTTGTTGGTTAATGCGATATGCCGAATCTGAATCACATACAATACTCTCCGAACACAATAGATCCATGTTTTGCATTATTAACAACCACTAATAGTTTAGCTGGTTTATTCCTTCTTTCAAATACTCATATGTATTTGTGTTTAATATGAGCTCAGTTTATGAAGAATGAGGTCTGCTCTAAAAAACATAACGTGTTCACAATTATGAATTTTAATTAAGAATTTATCTTATTTAGTTTGTTCACTAAAATTACAGTGTTAACATCTACAAATACAGGCAACATCAAAGCTAACAAACTGTTTTCTGTTTGACGTTGAAGTAGATCACGGGTAGGGTAAAATATACACAAATTAGTCCTTAATATTTTAGTATGGTTAAAAGTTCGAGCTTATAATTTCAAATCAAATTTTAAAGCCATAATTACACCAAAGTTAAGGTGTTGTCTTTCACATTTACACGTTCTGTCCCGTCACGAAAACCGATACTAGTGTTTGAACAATCGATAATACACCCACAGCAAATAATAGAGGGATTCCTGAAATGAAAAAGGCAGATACGGTCTCAAGAAGCCAGGAACAACTATAACTTTAAGAAAAACTTCAGGAAGGGAAAAATATCGGTTATTCGCGGTTGAATTGTTCCAGATATGTTTCAGTTTCTATCTCGAACAATAGATTCCTTCCTTTTTGAAGAACCTCAAGGGTGCATACTTGAGCCATCAGATTCTAATAACATGGAATCAGTTGAGATTAAACAAAACCATGACTCCAATTCAGAGATAGCGACATTAACCATGGTAGAATTACTAATAGGTAACGTAGTCAGCTGAGTGGAGGAGCCCCAGCTTATTAACTCAGCTCTCAGAGAGGCAAGCGCTGGAGAGAGATAGCACATGTTTTACGTTCTGCACTCTTCGCTTTAATTTTTCCAGCTGAGAGCAAAGTAATGATTTGGAGCGGCATAGCAAAAAATATTTTGCAGACATGTTTGTTTCTAAAAAGGATTTAATTGAATTTCAATAACATACACATTTCATTACACATCCAAAATAGAATAGTAGTTGCATGCATATTTCATTGTCTTCCGCTTACGTCTTCATTCGTAAACAATGAAGAAAAAGAAGAAGACAATGGAAAAATCGCGCGCTACACAACCTCTTTCGTCCATGGCGAAATTACTAAAATTACTAAAAATTAGTAATTCTACCATGCTTTCGTCGACGTTAGGTGTTCCTCGAATGAGAAGCACTGTGGTGAATCCGTCACCTATTAGTAATTTCACCATTACATGAACCAGGCATTCAGGAGGAGTTTAGTTGAGTTTCTTCTCTTTTCCGACTGTTCAGCACTGTTCAGAGAGTTTTTATACCCGGTACTCGAAGAGTAAATAGGGTATATTGTATTTGTGCACAAAGTATGTAACACACAGAAGGCAACGTTTCCGACCCCATAAAGTATATATATTCTTGATCAGCATCAATAGCCGAGTCGATTAAGCCATGTCTGTCTGTCCGTCTTAAGACTATAAGAGTGTATTTAAAAAATTAGCCCCACCCCTTTCGCCTAAACAAAAGGGCGAAAACCTCCCAAACCTACACTTTTGAAAATAAAAGAAAACTCAAAACGCCATTCCGTAGGTAATGACCATATCTATCAGATCACAAAATGGGGATCCGATTGGATCATTATTATAGTCAGAATGAATAAATTAATTTGCAGTAGCTAAACCCACCCTGTCCCGCAGCTGTTGTTGTTCTTTTCACATTCTCTCATTCACACTCTGCTTCTGCTTCACTCGGCCGCTGTCTCTGCCGACTTTAAGATCACCCCGTCCCGCAGCATATATTTGTTTATTTTGTGTGCGGGCGCTGCCTTTGCCTCTGCCGCGAGTCCGCAGTGTGTGGGTCTAGGGAAGGGCGGCGAACTAACGGAGCGTGTTGGTGTGAGTAGTGTTGTTGATGTAGATGACAGATGCAGAAAAAATTTAAAATTTGACAAATAACTGCTAAGGTGCAGATGTAGTACTGAGTGCCTGGTATAAAAGTTGTGACGCGTAAGAAGCGTCTCACACGTCCCTTCTCGTTTCTTCTGAGATTAGGCAGCAAACCAATTAGAATGCTGCTGGCTGCTGATGTCTTTAAAGAAGGCTTCGGAGCACTTCTCAACGTCCTCCTCACAAAATTATCCAAGTCGCGGCTATTTTAATTTGGGAGATATTAGTAAAGCACCAGAATATTCAATACCTGTTTCTTGCCAAGGTCCAAACGCTTCTATATTTTATCATAAAAAGCATCAACTTCTTTGCTGCCAGATATAAAACCCGCAGTAAACACTCAATAACTCAATTTTGTGTAGGTGTAAACGACAATTCTGATCTATATAGAACTCTTGTCGGTGTAAATAGGAAACAAATGGATGGTCGCCAGTGTGACAACGCTATAAATGTGTACCGATACTATCGATAGTGTGTCGATAGTTGTCTATAACCATGTTTCTGCCGGCGGTCTCAGTCTACTTAAGGTTCGCTCGTAATATAACAAGAAACTCTAAACGAATTACGATGGAAACGAATAAATTATATATTCGCAATTTAGAAAATACAGATGATATAAATATTAAATTTCGTTATGTTAACAAAGAACTTAACGTGGATAGAGATTTTAGCTTCTGTCGAAAAAAGTATGAGCCGGTTTTCAAACTCCTCACCCGCATTCAAAACAATGTCGAAAAAGAAATTGACAAATGTGTAAATAAACGCAGCAAGCGGCGTTCAACTGCTGAACAAATTTCAAAGACACTACCAGAGGTGAGTTATACATACAAAGAAAGCCCTCCAGATTCTTTGACATCATCTTATCATATCATTGCAGAATTTCTAGCCCAAGTTCTTGCAAAGCTTTTGATAATTATGTGAATATAACCCACAATCTGATAATAAAACTCTGTTTGATTTTTATTCTGAAACACTCTGTGAAGATAAAAATTGAAATCTATCAGGATGAATGTAATATCAGCTCTAACGAGACGACACTGGCTGAGCTCCTTCAAAATAATTTTTCTGGTGTAAAACTTCTTGTGATAGATCAAATATTTGATATCGTGTTAAACCAGCCATGGGTAGATCTCCTGCAACTCCCAAAGTGCATGTTAGCAGGCTGCCTGATCTACCCAAATAAATTTCAAATACAGTTTGCTGCTCCTGAGCATTGCTCCGGCATGTGGTTCAAATCAACACAGGTAAACTATTTACGATAATCTGTTTGGGCTTTAGCCACATTACTTTCAATCACATTACAGCTAGAAGCTATATCGACGAAATGGGAGAAATGCGGCGAAGGTCTGACTTATCAGGTAGCACAAGAAGACGTTGGACACTATATGAAGTTAGCTGTTACTCCACGAAACAAAGAAGGAATAAGCGGACCTATGGCAGAAGATATTTCAAAATGTGTAGTACAGGCCTTGCCAGATGAATTGCCATTTCAAATACGCCATCAACACACCGTGAACTTACTAAGTGAACCTAGCAGTATTCGGGTGGTTACTTATAATATATTGGCCGACTTGTATGCAGACAGTGACTACTCTCGTCAAACCCTCTTTCCCTATTGTCCACCGCAATCACTGCAAATTGATTACAGAAAACAACTCTTAATAAGAGAACTAACAGGATACAACGCTGATTTAATTTGCCTTCAAGAAGTAGACCAAAAGATTTTCGACGTCGATTTGAAAAATGTACTGGAAATGCCACCCCACAATTTTTATGGAATGATGGCACCAAAAGGCATATGCAGTGAAGGTGTTTCAGTTTTCTTTCGCAGATCGCGTTTTGACTTGCTGTCATCTCATGTGCTGCATCTTGGCAAAAACATACCTTCATTGTCTATTTTCGAACCTCTTTGGAACAAAATTAAAGCCAATGAGCAACTAGCAGAACGCATTTGTAATCGATCAACAACGCTTCAGGTACATATTTACATTTGAATACATCGTTAAATTATAAGAGTAAACTAAAAATCATATTCCTTGCAGATATGTTTGCTTAAAGTTAAGGAAACGGATAAGTACGTGCTGGTGGCCAATACACATTTATATTTCCACCCGGACGCAGACCATATCCGGTTGTTGCAAATCGGGTTTGCTCTGACTTACATAGAGCACATACACAAAGAGGCTGTGAAGGAACATAACATCACTGACCCAAAAAATATTGGATTAATATTTTGCGGGGACTTTAACAGTGTTCCTGAATGTGGAATATATAAGTTAATGACCGAGCAGTTCGTAGATAAACATTCAATAGATTGGAGCAGCAGTAGGTTCAACAAATGGTTCATAAAGAAAAAAGCACTTGTAATCGTTTGGTATTTGATCGTTTTCAGATCTTGAAGAAGCCGTTGTAGATGTGGAGCTTGCGCAGCCTTTTAAAATGTTCTCAGCCTGCGGGACACCTAAATTTACAAACTTCACGACTCTCTTTTCTGGTTGCTTGGATTATATATTTTGCCAACAGGATCGCTTTGAACTATTACAATGTGTACCATTGCCAACGGATGAACAACTAACCGCTCATACTGCTATACCCTCCATGTATTTTCCATCAGATCACATTGCTCTTATAGCCGATTTAAAGTTTAATGCCATCAGTTAGACTTTCGAAATTGTTTAATACATTGATTTGTATATAAACCTGTTGGAGGAAGGATGCTCTACTGTAGCATTCGTGTTAAACTTTTGAATTAAACCATTAATCTTTTGATAAATGCATTTGGTCATGTCTCTTACGTATAAATCAATAACTTCTGAACGAACCAAGAGATATTCAAATAATAAATTGCATTTGAAAGAAAAATCTTCCAGAATCTAGTCTATACGAAAGCTTGGTGATACAATGCTAAAAAACTGTACAACAAATATAACAAGTTTTACTTTGATTCCGGTGCATTTTTGCCTGTTTTCCTTGCATAAAATGGTTTTATATGAAGATATAGAAAGTTTAATAAGTTACTAAATAAGTTAGTTTACCTAACTACACCACTGAAAGGAAAGAAGGAAACCTCTCCGACCCTTTAAAGTATATGTTCTTGATAAGCATCAATAGACGAGCCGATAAGGACCTGTCTGTCCTAAATCCAAATTTTACACCTGTGCCTTCCACCACCCATTCAACAGAGTGGCCATATCTATTAGATTAAAGGGTTAGGATCAGATCGGATCTTTATTATAACCACAATGATGAAAATCACATGCAAAATCGCTAGGCAAAGAGCGGAGAGCAACTTTTATTAATAAAATGGACATCACTTCTCACACCAACTAGTTGAGGAAATGAACATGCTGTGAATCAATTTTTGTTGTTAATAGACCAACGGTTTCATCTGTACGGTTCTGAATAATAAATTGGTTTAAAACAGTCGAAGCCTTTCGCACGGTACATGTACGAAAGTGGTTCGCGAGGCAGTAGAATATTATTGAAACGTTTTTTTTTACATTAAAATGTTTTGGCCTGGGTGGACCTCGTCAGATAAATGCTCAATCAAAAATGCAAGCTCGTTTCCAATCAAACTAACTGCATTTTTTGCAATATTATTTTTTTTTTTTTTAGGTTTTAAGTTACCGCTCTACCCTTAGGTAGAGGGGAATTATTTGGCCACCCGCCTTTACATTTTGCAATATTAATATCCATCATCCCTAATGTGGGTCTCAAAACAAGTAGACAGTCGATACTATCGAATTTGAACCGAAACAATCATAGGTAGCATAATTTTTCAACCATCGATACTATCGATAACTCTATTTATTGTGTTTAGCTACATTCCTGGTAGCACAGAACAAATTTAACAAATTAAGGATAGCAGCCAAACAAGAACTAAGTTCCCGCTAAACCAATCATGTCAGGCATAAACACCTATTCCACGTAAATTATAAACCAATAAGACTTACTTACATATATCATTTAATCAATGGATTTTTACCTCGTCCAGGTTTGTAGCGAATCGTGGACACTTAGATGATCAGATGCAAAGGGAAAATCAGGTAAGAAATCAACATCAACACAATATCCAGGCCAAGATCTGTTGGGTATCAGGTATTATGATATTTGATTCGCTGGAATTGACTAGCTTACATAAACATCCGTGATTTGTTGACTGTTGAATGTATGTAGTATTGATTACCGCGAAAAGTCCATTGTAGATCAAATAAACGCAGAGCAAGATGTTTTTAATAAAATCCAATATGCCGACTCACAGGGCGAGTTCATATTACCAATAAAGGAACACAAGGGTCTTGACAAATACATGTATAACCAAGAGGATGGTAAGTGATTTGAGTCTTCGCCCCGCCTAATCTAAATAAATGTAAATGGTCTACAGATACATCATTGCGCAAGTACCTCGTCTTTGGAGTTCAATGGATTTCCCTGGTCACGGAAAACCTCCTGAGCCATCCATTTATTGTATTACGTCGGCAGTGCCAGGTTTATAATGCTTCAAAGCGTTATCACTTGCATCCGTTTACGCTACTGCCAAGCATTGTCCATTTGCACCGGCGCCAGGGGCTAACGACGCTTTGGAAAGGTCTGGGAAGCTGTCTTTTGGTGCGAGGCATGGGTTTAGCCGTCGACGATGTTATCTCAAAATTGACCAGTTGGCCCAAAGGCGTAAACAGTAACACAACGCTTAAGCGCTTTGGGCAACACGTTCTCCTTAAGTGGTAAGTTAACGCCATGTACATACATGATAACTGTAAAAATAGTAACATTTTCTTTTTTAGTATAAGCATAGCACTAGTTGTGCCTTTTCATGCCGCCTCTCTGGTGGAGACAGTACAAAGCGACATAGCAAGCGAAAAGCCTGGACTTTTTGATGTGTTCCGTGAGGGCAGTCTTCGACTTTTCTTCTGGAGCTATCTGCAAAAAGGTAGAATGCTCCCTGCCTGGGCGTTGATTGGACCTAGTGTATCGTTAGGCGTCACAAAGTATCTATTCAATTTAGTAATACGAGGCGTGTCCTCCCGCATAATGCTCCGCAAACAATCGCAAATGCAAGAAAATGTTGGCTCGAAGTCTTGCGACGATACGCTAGAACATACAAATTTGGAGATCTATGGGAATCTTATCGCCACGCTGACTACCGAAGTTATATTCTTTCCCTTTGAAACAATTTTACATAGAATCCAGCTACAAGGCACTCGTACCATAATCGACAACCTGGATAACGGCTACGCAGTGGTTCCTATTCTGACAAACTACCAAGGAGCTGTCGACTGCTATCAAACAACTATTATTTCGGAAGGATTTGGCGGACTCTACAAGGGCTTTGGGGCTATGGTCCTGCAATTTGCAGTACACATTGCTGTAATTAAGATGGCCAAATGGATTGTCACCAAAATCACAGAAGGGATCTCAAATCGACCACCACCATGCATTGTACAGTACTACAATCTTGACTGTGTTGCTGGAAAGTCGAGTTCAACGGCCTTGTCGTCAAGTATTTCAAGTACAGAGGTGGACGCGCCCATTGAGGAGAGAATGCTTTGAAATAGTTATTAAAAGTATAGTTCTTTACAGAGTTATCTATATATATAAAATTCTTGTGTCACGGTTATTTTGGTTGAACTCCCAAACTCGATTGTTATGCAATTTCTAGTGTATTTTTCCTCATATCACCACCCATTTAGCTTTTAACTACGAATGTGGGGTTTTTGGATCATGTCAGTATGCTTTGTGACATCTACACTCTACATCTACAATTCTCTGACGTCGAATGGGGACGTTTGTACGCATTGAAAGCGGCAGACCGGTCAAAATAAAACGGATTTTCTAAAAAAAATGAATACATTATGATACACCTCTTGACAACCTCTATAACTGATGATAAAGACGACTTTAGGGTATTATCGCACGGGAAAAATTCAGAAGTGGTTTCGCTGCGACTGATTAAAAATCAAATTTCAGCGAAAGTTCAGATTTTAACACGAATAAATGGAAAATGTCGTCCATTAATATAAACGGGCTTTACTTTTACAAAAATGTGATTCATATCTTTTTAAAATTGAATTAAGGCCTCTGTCGCGCGGTACCAAACATTTCTTAGTTTGTAACAGTTAAAACGATGAGGAACGTTGTGAGACGCCTTTGTAGGCGTCACAACTTTTATACCCGGTACCCGGTACGATACATAAGTATGTATGTATGTATGAACGTTACCTTACTTTTTTTTTTAATTTACATTTCCTTTTAAATCTCATCTACATAACTTCTCACACCACCAGGTCCCTTTGTCTCTCCGACTGAGCGGAGCACGAGACACGTTGTGCGAGCGAGAGAGAATTAGCAATAATATACAGGGCTGCTTTATAATAATATAATATTTTGCTATAATATTAATCCACTCTGACCATTATTCGAGGACATCCTCTGAGGAACTGCGCTCTGATTTTTCTCTTATCTTCGAGATAAAGAGAGATAAATGAGATATCAGAGTTATATCTGATAAAAGCAAGCAAAACAGAGAGTTTCTGAGCCAAAGCAGTGCAAGGCCAAAAAAATTACAGCGACAGTTTTTGGCATGCACTCAGTTTAATCCATCTTGACAACCTTCAACAATCAATTGCAATTTTGCCAAATTATTGGATAGATTTAATTACCATTTGAAAAGAAACGAACATATTTGATCAAGAAATAATTGTTTCGCTAGAACAGTGAAATGGTCTAGTCAAGTGCCATTTCCAGAGAGTAAGCCATGTATTTTACCTTTTTCACACTGGACACGTCACCTATCGATATTGGAATAGACGCAATGATGCAGAAAATGCGTTAATATTGGCAGTCGTCTGTCTTGAGAACAGCTGGTCGAATGCAACAAAAGCGGCGGGCTTGTCTGCAGCCAAGCTAAAAAATATCCTAGAATTGCATCGTCCTCTAAGCGTTTAGACCCATGTTGGTAGAAGTAGTTAGACCAGGTGTCCACAAATATCTCCTACCTAAGTCAGAAACCTCACTCACTTGTTCAGTTGTTCCATGTTCAGTGGATCTGTTTCACCACTAAACTAGTAAAGAAGTGAACTAGTAAGCGAACAACTGAACAAGAGGCTGAGTCACTGCACAACTAAGGCACTACCACTACTCCAGCACACACCGAGTCAGCAAAACAGTGTCTGAAAAGTACAACAATCGATATTTTCTTCCGCAACTCTGCTCGCAGCTCAACTAAAAAACCAACTGGGCGGATATATTTCTCTCGCTCTGACTGCAGGCATATCCCAAAAGGCTGTCTCTATTTTGGCATATAGTCAGCAAGGTCTAATGTCATAGAAGCATAATGCAGTTCCTGCGATTAAACATTAGACACAACACGACACTGATATCTATTCCACAGCTGACGAAACTCACCACGCGTTAAAACCGCCCGGTAGATCCATACCATTCTCTGATTTCTGCGGATGTTATTTTTTTTTTTTTGGCCGAACTGTCGCGCTTAAAATTGTTTCTTTATAATCGTGCGTAATAAAAATGGAAAAATCACCTGAGCTATGTGCCGAAGTTTCGCCAGTGTATTTACTTAATGACAAATAAATACAATAAATCAAAATAATAAATATAAGTGCACATATGTATGTATATGTGCATGGTTCGTGTGTTTGTGGACCTTTGTGACTAGCCTAGCGCACGAGATACCAAATACCATTTACAGTAAATACAAATGCAAAAAAAATACTTTTGTACGTATGTATACACATGTCTGTATATAGCGTAGAAGCTTGTTTTCTGTCCAACGGGCATACATGCGTACATATGTATGGAGTATCCCCATACGAATCGCCAGATATAAATGTTTCCATCTGATTGGTTTCAAACATATTACAAACATGGCTATCCATAGTTGAGTTCTCGTCGAACACAAAAAAAATTCGACGAGCAAATGCGCCTACGGATACCCACATTAAGCCGAACACAGTTTTGTGTAGTAGTAGTGACCCGTTGTTAGATAAATATGCTTGTATACAGTGTGTATTCAACAAGTTTCTGCTAAAATTGCTGGTGCTACAAAATATAAAAAAAAACATATGTACATTCCGTATGATATGTGTACATACATGTGTATGCGTTCCTAAGTGCAGTGCGTTTAATTTTAAGTGGTCAACAATTTTAAAAATATTGGAAAATTTACACAAGTATACATGAAGCGAAGTCAAAGTATACACGTTCGATGTGTTAATGCATTGAATTAACACTAAAAGTGATTAAAAGCAAAACATGCTCCCAGTGAACGGAATACATTTAAATATGCTCATATGTATGTTTGTACATATAAGTATTCATAGGTACATGCATAGGAATGTACCTGCATATCGACAATAGAAATGTGCGAGTGTGCGAGACGCATCTCCGCATTGGGTGCACTGCTGCCTTGTACTTTAAGTTTTCCTAGTTTAACTTTTCGTGTTTGTATTTTGTTTATGTGGCCATGTGTCTTCTACATTCATACATATGTATGTATGTATGTACAGCCAATTACAACTCTTTAGAGAGAAAAGAAATTTGATCAAATTTCGAATTAATTCAATTGTATACTGTTGAAAATGTAGTTTTATAAACAGTCTTCTGTGTATGTATGCAAAAAGTATGTTAAGGTACGTATGTACATAAGCTTTCAGAAAGGAATACATTCCGATGTACATTTTAGAGCTAGGGCAACTATTTGTTAGTTCGATAGTTTTATATAAACTCAGCCCAACACAGTTTATCCTTCAATCTATTGCAAATGTATCCGCCTAGGTTCTCATGACCTCAATCTGTAAGTTACACAAATCTTCATCTTCAGAGACGCTTGGCAATGAATTTTGACCCGAAGTGAAGATAGCTCCTAGTAAGAAAATGTTGTTAATAATATATAGTTAATGCAGAGATTCCTTTTTCTAGCAACATCCTGTCATCCTGACTGTAGATTACGATCCACGTCTGGAGTTGTATCTTCCAATGAATTTCCTTCTGTTGATATCTTGGCTGTTTTCCAATAAATACGAGCGAATTCTCTACTTAAACTCTTCTCGATCTAAGTGATCATGCAAGCCTCCTTAAGACCTTATAATACCAAACAATTTTCCAAGACGTCCTAGTTTAAGCGGTTGGTCATGATAAACGTAAGTTTATATTTTTCTTGAAGGTCATTATTATTAATTACACTGATTTCAGTAAGGCATTCGACTTTGTGAACGACACTCACTTCTTGCACAAAAGCTTGTTCTAGGGGTTTCGCCTAATCGTTTGAGATGGATTTCTAGCTACCTTTCTTATAGGTTCCAAAGAGTAAACGCCGTCTCTTCACCTGCTATGGTTAGTTCTGCAGTATCACAGGATAGCCATATTGGCTGCCTACTTTTTAAACTCTATGAATGGCCTGCCTTTTGTATTAACAAACTCTCGAGTACTTATGTATGCGGATCATGTTAAGCTATGTGCACAGTATAAGGAAATTTCATTTCACTCACGCTTGCAATCAGATTTCAATAACTTTCAGTCATTGTGCTGTGCAAATATGTTACACCTTATGAACAGCCCTTCTTTTTCGTTGTACTTTACTTGATTTTTGTCAAGTGTTTTGGGAGAAATGCATATGCGTCTCTCTGTTCCATTGAAACGAAGATGAGAAAGACTACTCTAATACCAAAAGGCATCCATAAATAATAATAATAATGCGTTAAGAGGCATAAGAGGCAGCGTAAGAACTTATAGAGGTATTAATATTTGTATACTACAAATTGATCAGCAACAAGTTAAAATCAACCGAATGGTAATGGCATAGAACAAACAATATAAATGTAGTGGAAAACAACTATTCTTAAAAAAAAATGTGCACATGCGAAAAGAGCAGCAAATTATTCAACGGTATCAACAAATAAAAGAAAGTGAAAATCTCTAGCATCTAAAACTAGAGCGAAAATATACTAAACACGAAAACCACCGAAAATGGGTGGAGGAAAAGATATACGTCGTGGCTTGGAGCCTTTGGAATTTGAAGAATGCATTGTCGATAGTCCAGAGTTTCGAGATAATTTGAATAAACATGAAAAGGAGCTGGATCATACTAGTCATCAGATAAAGCGAATTATAAAAGAGGTCAAAGACCTTATGAGTGCAGCAAAAGGTGAGTAAAAGGAAACTCATATATAAATTTCTACCAATTATTGCAACCACACCATAAATATACTCAGCTAATATAATGTACACATGCTGATGCATGTATTCCAATAATCTTGTATATTTTTTTACATTTGAACCTAAACCTATCTATGGTATTACAGTATTCTAAGAGTTCAGGTATATATGAACATATTAGTTTTGAAGATACGAGAGAACTATAAGTGAAGTATCGTAGATAATGACCTTATTTGCAAGGTTGCCTAATCAGAACTTTGAATCATTATTATAGCCAGAACAAAAATGTGTTTTGCAGTGGCCAATCTAGTCGTTTCATGCGCTTCTCATTCTCTCCCTCTCTTACACCATTTTCCTCGTGCAGTTTACGCCCTGTGACGGAAGAGATCGATTTAGAATGGCATGTTGGTGTGAGAAGTGTGAAAGAGAGGGCCTTTACGTATTATTACGCTAAAATATATTGTAGAAGTTATATAAAGTAAAAGGTCACATACATATGTATGTATGTCTATACTGACTGAGTAGTGAGTACCAGGTATAAAAGAAGAGTTATTTGAGCATTTGACCCGGCTCAACGTTGCCAACGTTCGTTAATTCATATTCTGTAGGTTTTATTACCTTCGTTGCTCCCAGTGTTTGGGTCAAATTTTTAGCTGCATCAATTCGCTTTTC